AATTCAAGCAGGAGGATGAAAATTGTCCACTTTTAAATACTTGAAGGATGTTTTCTGCTAAGAATTATTCTTTAAAGATGTAATTTAAGTTTGAGGTACATTTTAAGGATGATTTTGGCCAAAAACTCTTGCAATTTACTATCCTAGTAATCACATCAATTCCAATTATCATATGACTTTCCAAACAGACCCAAAGTGTGAAGAGTGAAGACAAGATAGGAATTGGAATGCGCTTTGATTTTCTCTCACAAAAGATTTGGTTTGATGTTAGTACATATGGTTTGTCATTTATATATTTTCTATTTAAATTGCTTCATAAGTTAAATTCCATAAATGGACATATAAGAATATTTTTTTCATCAAAATCACATAATTATTTTTCTAATAGTATAATCATAATATTATAAACCATTTTTTAATATTTAATTTAATATCTACCAAACTCGATTAAAAGAGGATAGACAAGACTTGACCCCAAAAGAATTAAGGAAAAATGACATGATAAACCTCTCAAACTCGAAATTTAGAGCTGATATATCATTTGTTACAAAAGTGGCTCATATACACTTCTATTATTACATAAATAGGTATATTTTAGAGCTGATATATCATTTGTTACAAATTAATTTTATTTTATGTTTTCGATATATTATTAAAAAAATAAAATCTATATAGGTATATTTGAAACTTTCATAAAGTTAAGAGGTATATTTGATTATTTCCCAAAGTTAAGAGGTACATTTGATCTTCCTCAACTATGAGATTATTTTTTTTTACCTTCTTTAATTTAATGAATAATTCGATTTTATTATCTTAATGATCAAATTATTTCTACACTCATCTTCATATAAAATTTATGGAAAATGGTCAAATATACCCTTGTACTATTGGAAATAGTCTATATATATTCTTCGTTATACTTTTGGATCAAATATACCCCTACTGCTATACATTGGCACATATATACCTCTAATTTTAACGGAGAGACATATATCAACTTAAGAATCAAATAACCCACCCCCAATTTCAAATACCCAATTCCTTTGCAATCCACCCATTTAACCCATTTTCTTTGATGACCCACCTTGAACCAAACCCATTTTCATAAGTCATCTTCTCTATCTAAAAACTCAAGGAGGAAGTGCTTGCGGTGACTAAACTTGCGGGAGTTCGGGGAAGGGCTAGTTATACTGTACAAGTTTGTAGACAATAAAATTCGCGTCGAGAAAACAATAATCAAGAACGGAAAATTATGCAACAATCGTTTTATTGATTTAAATGCGAGTGTTACAATCTCTATTATTCCTCTGAATTCGCCTTTTCAAATATAATTCAAGGGCTCTTGAGCTTGATCTTGAGATTTATCTCGATCTTGATCTCTATCTTGATCTTGATCTTGGACTTGGACTTGGACTTGAACTTTATCTTGATCTTGAACTTGAACTTTATCTTGATCTTGACTTCTAGTTGAATCCAAGGGCTTCGAGCTTGATCTTGAATCCGGCGGTCTTGATCTTGATCGTTCTTGATCTTTATCGTTCTTGATCATGATCGTTCTTGAGACTTTAACGTTCTTGAAACTTGAACGTTCTTGAAACTTGAATGCTTGAATGCTTGAATTCTTGAAATCTTGAACTCTTGAACTTGTAGAGAAATTTGCATCTTTTGATCCACGAGCTTTCTCTAGCTTCTTGTTAAAATTCTTGGTCCTGTTTTCTGAATTATGAGGACCCCTATTTATAGTTTTAGAATAGGGGAGTTGTGATTGGAATAGGATTCACTTCGGACAATCAGATTTAAGTGACATGACATATGGGCTTTATGGAGCGGGCTTTAATTAAATTCATATTTATTGAATTTAAATAATTAATTCAATTATATTAATCCATAATATTTATTTGGACTAATATATTAATGAATTTAATATAATTCGAATCATTTTAATAAATTTATATTTAAATAAATTTTAAATGATTACAAATGCCCCCTGCTTCAAGTCTTGTTAAAATATTTTATTTGAAGTATTGACTTAATATTATAATAACTATCATAATATTAAGAGAAAGTATTGACTCAATAATATTATTATTATAATATCATAATTATCTCTACATGTGGACAGAACCATCATTAACTGTCACATGAGACATGTTAAGAGTGGGCTTTAATTTCCGTAAAAGTTTGGAGTTTATCCTTTAGTCTTAATGACCAAAGTCAACTAGGAATCAAATGGCTCACTAGTTTTTTTTTAGTAACAAATAATTTCCAGTAGTCATACACGTCGAATCTTATTAGGAGTCCCTTAGTTACACGGCTTCTAATTTGACTCCAATTAGAACTTGAATGCTTTGTATAATTTATGTTGAAATCAAATTGAAATCAGAAACGGTTCATAGCACTATTTGTAGTAGGATAAAACCACCGCCTCAAAGTCTAATGCCATTTAGTTCAAATTGTAGTTCAACTAGGAGTTGTAGTCCTACTCAATTTCAAATTCATGTCCTTTTTCATTGTCCTAGCCAAAAAGGAATTGTAATTGGACTAGGAGAGAGATTTTATTCCCACCACATGACATCTATAAATAGACACATTGTATCCATAATTCGTCACCCCTTTTACAGCTTGACACGTTTGTCGTAGAAAATTCATATCTCATCGTAGAAAAATCGAAATCAAGAACGGTTTGATTTTTCAGAAACTAGACTTCTCGATCTCTAACATATCCAAAATTCGGAATTTAATACCTTCAGAATATTTCTAGATGATTTTTTTTTAAGTTAGCTTTAAATTCTGTCATGCTGAAAATTCCAGATTTGTGTGGCTTTTACTAAAACTCTTGTGTCTTGATGTAGGAACGACGAAATCACAAGCCGCTTGATTATTTAGAATCTAGACACAAAGGTCTACAATATATCTGAAATTCAAGGTTTAATACCTTCAGAATCTTTCTAGGTGATTTTTTGAAGTTAACTTTAAATGCTGTCATGCAGTAAGGCGAAAAGAGGATGGATACGCATCCCCGCCCTAAGAAAGGTAATCTAAAGGTATTCTTTAAGGCGAAAAGAGGATGGATACGCATCCCCGCCCTAAGAAAGGTAATCTAAAGGTATTCTTTAAGGCGAAAAGAGGATGGATACGCATCCCCGCCCTAAGAAAGGTAATCTAAAGGTATTCTTTAAGGCTAAAAGAGGATGGATACTCATCCCCTCCCTAAGAAAGGTAATCTAAATGTATTCTTTAAGGCGAAAAGAGGATGGATACTCATCCCCGCCCTAAGAATGGTAATCTAAATGTATATTCTTTAAGGCGAAAAGAGGATGGATACTCATCCCCGCCCTAAGAATGGTAATCTAAATGTATATTCTTTAAGGCGAAAAGAGGATGGATACTCATCCCCGCCCTAAGAATGGTAATCTAAATGTATATTCTTTAAGGCGAAAAGAGGATGGATACTCATCCCCGCCCTAAGAATGGTAATCTAAATGTATATTCTTTAAGGCGAAAAGAGGATGGATACTCATCCCCGCCCTAAGAATGGTAATCTAAATGTATATTCTTTAAGGCGAAAAGAGGATGGATACTCATCCCCGCCCTAAGAATGGTAATCTAAATGTATATTCTTTAAGGCGAAAAGAGGATGGATACGCATCCCCGCCCTAAGAAAGGTAATCTAAAGGTATTCTTTAAGGCTAAAAGAGGATGGATACTCATCCCCTCCCTAAGAAAGGTAATCTAAATGTATTCTTTAAGGCGAAAAGAGGATGGATACGCATCCCCGCCCTAAGAAAGGTAATCTAAAGGTATTCTTTAAGGCTAAAAGAGGATGGATACTCATCCCCTCCCTAAGAAAGGTAATCTAAATGTATTCTTTAAGGCGAAAAGAGGATGGATACTCATCCCCGCCCTAAGAATGGTAATCTAAATGTATATTCTTTAAGGCGAAAAGAGGATGGATATGCATCCCCGCCCTAAGAAAGGTAATTTATGGTATTCTTAAGGCGAAAGCGGATATATATAAATTCCCGCCCTAAGAAAGGTAATTTATGGTATTCTTAAGGCGAAAGTAGATAGATAAAAATCCCCGCCCTAAGAAAGGTAATTTATGGTGTCAAGACTTGAAAACTTCAACTTTCAGACTTGAATAATTTGAAGACTTCAACTTGCAGACTTAAAGAATTTGAAGACCTCAAGTTCCAGACTTGAAGAATTTGGAGACCTCAACTTCCAGACTTGAAGAATTCGAAGACTTCAACTTGCAGACTTAAAGAATTTGAAGACTTCAACTTGCAGACTTAAAAAATTTGAAGACTTCAACTTGTAGACTTAAAGATTTCAACTTGAAGACTTCAACTTGTAGACTTAAAGATTTTAACTTGAAGACTTCAACTTATAGACTTAAAGTTTTCAACTTGCAGACTTGAAGACTTCAACTTGCAGACTTGAAGAATTTGAAGACTTCAACTTGCAGACTTAAACTTGTAGACTTAAAGATTTCAACTTGCAGACTTCAACTTGAAGACTTGAAGAATTTGAAGACTTCAAATTGTAGAATTAAAGAATTTGAAGACCTTAACTTGCAGACTTGGAGGACTTTGAAGATGCAGACTTGAAGATTTCAACTTGCATACTTGGAAGACTTGAAGTACTTCAGCCTGTATACTTGGAAGATTTGAAGACTTCAACTTGTTTACTTGGAGGATTTAAAGACTTCAACTTGCAGACTTAAACTTGTAGACTTAAAGAATTTGAAGACTTTAACTTGCAGACTTGAAGAATTTGAAGACATCAACTTCCAGAATTAAAGAATTTGAAGACCTTAACTTGCAGACTTGGAGGACTTTGAAGATGCAGACTTGAAGATTTCAACTTGCAGACTTGAAGAATTTGAAGACTTCAAATTGTAGAATTAAAGAATTTGAAGACCTCAACTTGCAGAGTTGGAGGACTTTGAAGACTTTAATTTGCATACTTAGAGGATTTGAAGACTTCAACTTGTTTACTTGGAGGATTTAAAGACTTCAACTTGCATACTTGGAAGATTTGAAGACTTCAGCTTGCATACTTGGAGGATTTGAAGATTTCAACTTGCATACTTGGAAGACTTGAAGACTTCAGCCTGTATACTTGGAAGATTTGAAGACTTCAGCTTGTATACTCGGAAGATTTGAAGACTTCAATTTTAAAGAAACTTCAAGCATGTTGTTAACGAAACTCATATTATTTTAAGGGTTTGCCCCCATCTATTGACCAATCAATACTTCGTACAAGTCTAAAGTTTGATGAGACAAAAGATAAAACAAAATACTTACTGCTTTGATTGTCATGTGACAGATTAAGTGGGAATATGTGGTTTTTTTGACACTCATGCAACTGAACTTAGGATATATTCTAAGGGCCTACGTACCTCAATGAAGAGGATCAAATCACAACGTAGTTCTAGGGGATTGAGTGATTTTTTTTGTTGTGTCGTACACCGTTTATACTCTTGCGGGCCAGGAGTGACATGCAGTTTAGGCTCGTACCTTAAGGAGCATCATCTTACTTCAAGGGTAGTACCTCTTTAGGAATTTTGCATTAATAGGACCGATCATTACGCCATCTGCATCAACAAGCTTGTAAGCACCATGTGAATATGCTTCTTGTACGACATATGGTCCATCCCACTTTGAGGTAAATTTTCCCCCAAACTTGTGCGAAGTAATGATGGGTCTTCTTACTGCGAGAACTTGGTCTCCAACTTGGAAGCACCTCAAGCGAACCTTCTTATTAAAAGCACGAGATAGACGAGCTTGATAACATTCAAGGTTTTGTTAGGCTTCTAGCCTCTTTTCATCAAGTGCTTCTAACTCAGCAAGACGAAGTCGAGCATTTTCTTCTTCAGTGAGCCCTTCTTGAATAGCAAGTCTCAAGGAAGGTATTTGACGCTCAAGTGGCAAGACTGCTTCAACTCCAAAAGCAGGCGAATATGGTGTTGCTTGAGTTGGAGTGTGGTATGTCGTTCTATATGCCCACAAAGCTTCTTCCATTTCCATTTATTCATGCCAATCTCATTTGGACTTGGAGACAACTTTCTTAAGGAGGTTGCATAGAGTTTTATTAAATGTTTCAGCAAGACCATTGGCGGCAACATGATACATAGAAGATTTACACTGCTTCAAGTTAAAGAGATCACAAATTTTGTTCATTAACTTATTATCAAATGGCTTGCCATTGTCTGTTATAATGTAGCAAGGGATGCCAAAGCGATATATGATATTCACTCGGATAAAATTTGCAACATTCTCTTTCTTCACTTCTTTAAGAGCGACAACTTCAGCCCATTTTGAGAAGTAATCTGTTGCAGCCAAGATGTGTGTCCACCAGAAGATTTTGGTAGTGGTCCCACAATATCCAATCCCCAAGCGTCAAATGTCCAAGATGCAATAGTTGGGTGCAATATTTCGGGCGGCTGATGTATAAAATTCGCATGAAATTGACAAGCAACGCACCTCCGAGCATAATCTAAGCAATCCTTCACCATGGTTGGCCAATAATACCCCATCCTCTTTATGTGAAAGTGGAGTTTCG